GGGGGGGGACCGCCGCCTGCCCCAGGTGGGGGCTCTTGGGGGCTGTTCTGGGGGGCTATGGGCTGTGTGGAGAGTTATTGGGGCTCGGGGGGCTGTTAATGGAGAGTTAGGGTGGGTTGTAGGGGATCCGAGAGAGTCCTGGGGGGCTTTAAAGAGCCTTGGGGGCTCTTACTGGGGGGCTGCTAGAGGTCTGTGGGTCTTAGGGGGGCTCTTACAGTTGTCTGTGGGTGGTTGAGGACTTCTTGGGAGGCTCTGTGTGGCGCTGGGAGGAGTTGTGGGGCACTGAATGGGGCGGTGTGGGTCTGCTGTAGGTCCCACCTCTGCCCCCCCCCCCAGGTGCTGCAGATGTCGGAGCTGCTGGAACGCGGCATCGGGGTGCACCACAGCGGGGTGCTGCCGCTGCTCAAGGAGGTGGTGGAGATGCTCTTCAGCCAGGGGCTGGTCAAGGTATGGGGCGGCTGTGGGGCAGCTGTGGGACTGAGCCCCACACGTGTCCCCTGCTGACCCCCCCCCCCCCCACACACACACCCCCAGCTGCTCTTTGCCACCGAGACCTTCGCCATGGGGGTGAACATGCCGGCGCGCACCGTCATCTTCGACTCCATCCGCAAACACGACGGCAACAACTTCCGCGACCTGCTGCCAGGTGGGGATTTGGGGCGGGTGTGGGCAGGGCTGGGGGGTGAGCTTGGGGGTAGGGGGCAGGTTTTGTGGCTCTGGGGTGGCTTTTAGGGTCTACGGGGTGGATTTGAGGGTAGGGTTGGGGCTGCAGTGTGGGTCTGGGGGCCGTGGGATGGTTTGGGGATGTGGGGCAGGGCTCTATGGGGCAGCCCCTCTCTGCAGGTGAGTACGTGCAGATGTCGGGGCGCGCCGGGCGCCGTGGGTTGGACCGCACCGGGACTGTCATCATCCTGTGCCGGGGGACGGTGCCCGAAATGGCCGACCTGCACCGCGTCATGCTGGTGAGCGCCGCCCGCCTCCCCTCCTGTCAGCGCTTTCCGTCTGTCATGCAGCACCGTCACCCCGTGTCACCCCATGTCCCCATCCCGCCGTCACCCCAACGCCGCCCCGCATCCACCCGGTGTCCCCAGGCTGCATCACCCCCACCTCTCCATTTCCTCCCCATGCTGTGACGCTGCACTGCTGTCCCTGTGCCCGCAGGGCCGCCCATCGGGGCTGCAGTCGCAGTTCCGCCTGACGTACGGCACCATCCTCAGCCTGCAGCGCGCGGCCGCGCTCAGCGTGGAGGGGTTGATGCGCAACAGCTTCGGAGAATTCCCCCTGCGGCGCCGCGCCGCGGTACGGGATGGGGGGCACTGGGGTGGGGAGTTGACATGTGGGGGGAATTGGAGCGGTGAGGGCCTTGGGGGCATGGGGAGGGTTGCACTGAGGATGAGCTGGGGGTGCTGGGGACAGTGGGAGCCACAGGGATAAGGTGGGGGGTATGGGGACAACAGGGACACATTGGAGATGAGAGCACTGGGGACACTCTGGGAGCGGGGGGACACTGGGGGCAATGAGTGGCGCTGGGAGCACTGTGGGGTGTGGGACGGGGGGCGGTTGGCACATGGTGGGGCTGGGGGGCTCTGGGGAAGTGGTGCTGCAGTGGGGCTGCGGGGTTATTTGGGTGCTGCTTTACCTCATTTTGGTGCCATTTTGTGACATCTGGGCCATTTCGGTGCCACTCGATCCCATTTGGGGCCCCCAGGCGCAGCAGCGGCGCGTGGCTGAGCTGCAGCAGGAGCTGGCAGTGCTGGGGGAGCCCCCGCAGGAGGGAACCCTGGACGACCTCCCCCAGTACCACGAGGCCGTGCAGGGGCTGCTGGAGGCGCGGGCGGAGCTGCAGGTGGGGCTGGGAGATGTGGGGTCATGGGGGGATGGGGGGGGTGGGAGTGGGGGACTGGGGACGTTAGGGATGCTCCAATGGGGATGGAGGGACATGGGGACGCTGGGGGTAATGGGGAGGGTCCTGGAAGAGCGGGAATGGGGGGAAATGCAGGGGCTGTGGGAGGGGGTGGGAGGGTCCTGGGGGAGCTGTGGGGTTCCTGATGTGGGGGCGTGGGGGGACGTGATGGGGGGACCCTGGAGGAGGAGGCTGCAGAGGGACATGGGGGGGTCCTGGTGCCAACCCCCCATTTCTCCCCCCAGCGCCGCGTGGCGCAGTCAGTGGCAGGGCTGAAGGCGTTGGCCCCCGGGCGGGTGGTGGTGGTCTGCACCCCCC